TGTCTCCGCAGTACCTTCAGTTTCTCTGAGACATTCTTATTTTTTTTATCTTCTGGCCAGAAATCACTCACTTCCTTGTTTGCCTGCCACTGAAAGTTCAGAAGTACCAATTCTGGTTTTGATCTTTATATCCCCTGGCTACTCTTTCTGGTTCACTCAAAGTGAGGGAACTTAAAACACCTCTTAGTATTAATGTAACACACAGCACGTCTTTATTTTTCTTGAAGTCAGTTCTGACTTTGATAGTCCAATGGGGCTGTTAAAATTACTGCATAGGAAGGAAATTCTGACATATGCAATATGGATGAAATTTGAAGACATTTTATGCTAAGTGAAATAAGTCAGTCACAAAGGTCACTATCACAGGTAAGGGTTTCCACTTATATGAAGGACTAGAGATTATGAAATACTAGGTTATGATGGTTGTACAACAGTGTGAATGTGATTGCTGCCATTGAAGTGTACACCTAAAATGGTAAATTTTATATTATGTATATTTTATGATAATTAAAAGTTCATAGCCTTTTAGTTACCCCTGCCATGGTAGCAAATGGCACCAAGAAAAACCTTATAAGTACTTTAATTTTTCTGATTTTATTTGTGATAAGCAGACATAGGTTAATAATTTTGATCAAAGCTAGGATTCAAACTCAAGAAGCCTAACTTCTGATCTCAGATTTTTAGTTACTATGCCCTACTACACACACTGTGAGGAAAAAATCATGACTGTTCTAAATACACCTAATGCTTACTATAGAACAAGGCACAAAGAATGTATTAAATAAGCAGTAAATATTCAACATTATATTTTGTGAGAATTTCTCCAAGAATCTGTCAAAATAATAATTGATAGTTTGGTTTTTTAATTGGAACATTATTGATTTACAATGTAGTGTTACTTTCTGCTATACAACAAAGTGAATCAGCTATATGTATATGTGTGTGTGTGTGTGTGTGTGTGTGTGTGTGTCCCCTCACTTTTTTTTTTCATTTATTTTTATTAGTTGGAGGCTAATTACTTTACAATATTGTAGTGGTTTTTGCCATACACTGACATGAATCAGTCATGGATTTACATGTATTCCCCATCCCAATCCCCCCTCCCACCTCCCTCTCCCTATCCCATCCCTCTGGGTCATCCCAGTGCACCAGCCCCGAGCACATGTCTCTTGCATCCAACCTGGACTGGCGATCTGTTTCAAACTTGATAATATACATGTTTTGATGTTGTTCTCTCAGATCATCCCACCCTTGCCTTCTCCCAGAGTCCAAAAGTCTCTTCTATACATCCGTATCTCTTCTTCTGTCTTGCATATAGGGTTATCATTACCATCTTTCTAAATTCCATATATATGCGTTAGTATACTGTAATGGTCTTTATCTTTCTGGCTTACTTCACTCTGTATAATGGGTTCCAGTTTTATCCATCCCGTTAGAACTGATTCAAATGTATTCTTTTTAATGGCTGAGTAATATTCCCTTGTGTATGTACCACAGCTTTCTTATCCATTCATCTGCTGATGGGCATCTCAGTCGCTTCCATGTCCTGGCTATTATAAACAGTGCTGCAATGAACATTGGGGTGCACGTGTCTCTTTCAGATCTGGTTTCCTCGGTGTGCATGCCCAGGAGTGGTACTGCTGGGTCATATGGCAGTTCTATTTCCAGTTTTTTAAGGAATTGCCACACTGTTCTCCATAGTGGCTGTACTAGTTTGCATTCCCACCGACAGTGTAAGAGGGTTCCCTTTTCTCCACACCCTCTCCAGCATGTATTGCTTGTAGACTTTTGGATAGCAGCCATTCTGACTGGCATGTAATGGTACCTCATTGTGGTTTTGATTTGCATTTCTCTGATAATGAGTGATGTTGAGCATCTTTTCATGTGTTTTTTAGCCATCTGTATGTCTTCTTTCGAGAAGTGTCTGTTTAGATCTTTGGCCCATTTTTTGATTGGGTCATTTATTATTCTGGAGTTGAGCTGCAGGAGTTGCTTGTGTATTTTTGAGATTAATCCTTTGTCTGTTGCTTCGTTTGCTATAATTTTCTCCCAATCTGAGGGCTGTCTTTTCACCTTGCTTATAGTTTCCTTTGTTGTGCAAAAGCTATTAAGTTTAATTACATCCCATTTGTTTATATTTGCTTTTATTTCCAATATTCTGGGAGGTGGGTCATAGAGGATATTGCTATGATTTATGTTGGAGACATATTTCACAATATTGATTCTCCCAATCCATGAACACGGTATATTTCTCCATCTATTTGTGTCCTCTTTGATTTCTTTCATGAGTGTTTTATAGTTTTCTATGTATAGGTCTTCTGTTTCTTTAGGTAGATATACTCCTAAGTATTTTATTATTTTTGTTGCAATGGTGAATGGTATTATTTCCTTAATTTCCCTTTCTGTTTTCTCATTGTTAGTGTATAGGAATGCAAGGGATTTCTGTGTGTTAATTTTATATCCTGCAACTTTACTATATTCGTTGATTAGCTCTAGTAATTTTCTGGTAGTCTTTAGGGTTTTCTGTGTAGAGGATCATGTCATCTGCCAACAGCGAGAGGTCACTTCTTTTCCTATCTGGATTCCTTTTACTTGTTTTTCTGCTCTGATTGCTGTGGCCAAAACTTCCAAAACTATGTTGAATAGTAGTGGTGAGAGTGGGCACCCTTGTCTTGTTCCTGATTTTAGGGGAAATGCTTTCAATTTTTCACCATTGAGGGTAATGCTTTCTGTGGGTTTGTCATACATAGCTTTTATTATGTTGAGGTATGTTCCTTCCATTCCTGCTTTCTGGAGAGTTTTTTTTTTTTTTTTTTTTTTTTTTTTTTACGATAAATGGATGTTGAATTTTGTTAAAGGCTTTTTCTGCATCTTTGAGATAATCATATGGTTTTTATCTTTCAATTTGTTAATGTGGTGTATTACATTGATTGATTTGCGGATATTAAAGAACCCTTGCATTCCTGGGATAAAGCCCACTGGTCATGATGTATGATTTTTTTAATATGTTGTTGGATTCTGTTTGCTAGAATTTTGTTAAGGATTTTGGCATCTATGTTCATCAGTGATATTGGCCTGTAGTTTTCTTTTTTTGTGGCATCTTTGGTTTTGGAATTAGGGTGATAGTGGCCTCATAGAATGAGTTTGGAAGATTATCTTCTTCTTCTGCAATTTTCTGGAAGAGTTTGAGTAAGATAGGTGTTAGCTCTTCTCTAAATTTTTGGTAGAATTGAGCTGTGAAGCCATCTGGTCCTGGGCTTTTGTTTGCTGGAAGATTTCTGATTACAGTTTCGATTTCTGTGCTTGTGATGGGTTCTGTTAAGATCTTCTATTTCTTCCTGGTTCAGTTTTGGAAAGTTATAGTTTTCTAAGAATTTGTCCATTTCTTCCAAGTTGTCCATTTTATTGGCATAGAGCTGCTGGTAGAAGTCTCTTATGATCCTTTGTATTTCAGTGTTGTCTGTTGTGATCTCTCCATTTTCATTTCTAATTTTGTTAATTTGGTTCTTCTCCCTTTGTTTCTTAATGAGTCTTGCTAATGGTTTGTCAATTTTGTTTATCTTTTTAAAAAAAACAGCTTTTAGCTTTGTTGATTTTTGCTATGGTCTTTTAGTTTCTTTTGCATTTATTTCTGCCCTAATTTTTAAGATTTCTTTCCTTCTACTAACCCTGGGGTTCTTCATTTCTTCCTTCTCTGGTTGCTTTAGGTGTAGAGTCAGGTTATTTATTTGACTTTTTTCTTGTTTCTTGAGGTATGCCTGTATTGCTATGAACCTTCCCCTTAGCACCGCTTTTACAGTGTCCCATAGGTTTTTCGGTTGTTGTGTTTTCATTTTCATTCGTTTCTATGCATATTTTGATTTCTTTTTTTATTTCTTCTATGATTTGTTGGTTATTCAGAAGCATGTTATTTAGCCTCCATATGTTTGAATTTTTAATAGTTTTTTCCCCTGTAATTGAGATCTAATCTTACTTCATTGTGGTCAAAAAAGATGACTGGAATGATTTCAATTTTTTTGAATTTACCAAGGCTAGATTTATGGCCCAGGATGTGATGTATTCTGGAGAAGGTTCCGTGTGCACTTGAGAAAAAGGTAAAATTGATTGTTTTGGGGTGAAATGTCCTATAGATGTCAATTAGGTCTAGCTGGTCTATTGTGTCCTTTAAAGTTTGTGTTTCCTTGTTAATTTTCTGTTTAGTTCATCTGTCCATAGGTGTGAGTGGGGTATTACAGTCTCCCACTATTTTTGTGTTACTATTAATTTCCTCTTTCATACTTGTTAGCGTTTGCCTTACATATTGCGGTGCTCCTATGTTGGGTGCATATATATTTATAATTGTTATATCTTCTTCTTGGATTGCTCCTTTGCTCATTATATAGTGTCCTTCTTTGTCTCTTTTCACAGCCTCTATTTTAAAGTCTATTTTATCTGATATGAGTATTTCTTTTGGTCTCCTTTTGTGTGAAATATTTTTTCCAGCCCTTCACTTTCAGTCTGTATCCCCTCCCTTTTGAACCTCCCTCCAAACCCACACTCCCATCCCAGCCCTCTAGGTCATTACAGAGCACCAAGCTGAGCTCCTTGTGCTATATAGCAGCTTCCCACTAGCTATCTATTTTATATGTAGTAGTGTATGTATAGCAATGCTACTCCTTCTGTTCATTCTCCCCTCCTTTTAATAACTAATATTTTGCACTTACAGTTTACATTTTTCTTTGTGAACATGGAGTTGCAACTTACTGATCTTTGCATCTCTATTGTCTAATATTTTCATACATATGAGAAGATCATTAGGTGTGAATTTAATGAAATAATATAAAACAAGAACAGACAAGTGTTTATTTCAAGTTTTTTAAAAGATTATCTTTCAAGATTGATGAAAAGAGTAGAACAGTGAAGTAATCATTTTACTTGACTAAACTTAACATTTTGGCAGGTAATCTAAATTTTAAAAACTTCTTCTTTTTTAGTGTTGGACTTTCATTCTTTATGGTAAAATGGATACCCTGTGGCTTAACCAGTTTGCCATCCTTCTCTGGAAAAATTTCATATTAAAGGTAAGTGGAGGTATCTTTGAGAAATGGCCGTAAAGGCTAACGAATTTGAAAAGAAAAATTTAATAATTCCTTCATTTCATTTCAGTTTATGGGTATTTTTCCCCTTTTGTTCCGTGACTGAAGGTAGATTTCTAAATCTGAAGAGTATCAATAGGGCAAACCAATAAAATCAATAGTGAAATGAGAAAAGGGTGAAAAAGACAATCCAGAGAACCATTCATTTTGTAGAATGAAGTTGGATGATATATATATGTATTGTATACATGTATGTACATGAGTGTAAATACACACATACACACATGTAGTACTCTAAAGTTAATTAGTATAATTTTGTTTCTCTTGTAGAAACGGAAGATGGGTTCTTTAATTGTGGAAATTACCATGACAATGCTGTTCTGTGCAATGATTTTGGCTCTACGCAAAGCAACCAAAAAGGAATTTAAACAACGTACTTTTTTTCCGCCTCTTCCCTTGGATGAACTTCCCTCTTACCTCACTGATAAGAAACATGAATATGAATTGGTTTACGTGCCTTCTGGAAGTGATGTGGCAAAAAGTATTACCGAGAAAGTGAAAGACTATTTAAATGCCAACCTTAAAGGTTAGAAATCGTGATGTTTAAAATATTTTTGTAGAATAATTAATAATTTGTTGTACAGAAGGCATGTTTCAGTGACCCTTATAACTTGTACATTAATCTCAAATATAATGTTATGAACTTTGTCAAAAAATATCAAACACCCCTAAACAAAATATACTATTTAGAATTAGATGACAAGTTACATAATTCGAATCTTCTTTGTCTCTGATGGTACTTCTTAAATTGGGGTAAATTACTGAGTATGTCAAAAGGACACAAAGCCTCACAAAAATTTATATAATTCTTATGTCCTTACACTCTCCTTACTCTGCACCCAATTTCTCTTCTTTGTCCCCCACAGTCAGAAATTTGATAAGAATACATCCAGTCTTGTCTCATGCTTTTACATATGTGTGTTCATGGATTTATCCTGTTATATGTTTTTTAAATTATACATTTTTTTATTTTAAGGGTTTTGAGATGGGGGAAGGGTAGATGCTATATACTTTGTCATCTAAGTGACCATCTTTAAAAATTAAAGTGTTATATTTATGTAACTTAATGCGAAATTCCCATCAATTTTTAAAATATAAACCATGACTCTCCAAAGAACTTCAGTGCTCATTATGGGCTGGTTTAATTTACCTTTCAAGTGCCCCTGTTTGTGGAGGGAGAGGACAGAGAATATTGCTACTTCTTATCCTTTTCTATTATGGGTCTGTCAGTGAAAAAGTTTAAGACAAATTTTCATTCAGTCACATTGAGGCCATCATGAGAGAGTGTTGCTGAAGACTGGAATAGAGATCTGATGAGTTGAAGGTACATGGTGGCATAGCTTAATACATGTCTCATTATAAACTGCTAACTTAAAGGAAAGGAAGCTGAGAAACTTTCCTCCTCCTGATTATTTCTGATACATTCTTTTATTTTCAGTTGAACTAACTCCTTAGCAAAATAGCCTAATGACTATAAGGAGATAGATGTAGAGGTCTTTATTTGGAAAACTTCCACATTCAGTTTTTACTGCTATTGTGAAGAATTTTAACTTAAGAAAAACACCTTACTAGGGGCTCCAATCAAGATGGTGGAGTAGAAGGATATGGAGCTCACCTCATGCCACAGTTACATTAAAAATACACCTACTGGACTTCCCTGGTAGTCCAGTGGTTAAGAATTTGCCTGCCAATGCAGGCAACATGGGTTTGATCCCTGGTTTGGGAAGATATCATATGCTGTGGGGCAACTAGGCCTATGTGCCACAGCTACTCAGCCCTCACACCCTAGAGCCTGCAAGCCACGACTACTGAGTTCATGCACTGCAACTACTGAAGTCTATGTGCCCTTGAGCCCGTGCTCCACAATAAGAGGAGCCACTGCAACAAGAGAAGCCCACACATTACAACTAGAAAGTAGCTCCTGCTCACCACAACTAGAGAATGCCCACATAGAGCAGTGAAGGACCTGTGCTCCTGATAGGTGGCTGAAAAACAGGAAAGATTCTCATACCAAGGGACGCCCCCTCACTGGTGGGGAGATTAGCTGGGACAGAGAGGGAGCATCAGAGTCTCAGAGGAGAGCACAAGAACCAGCTTGTGGTAGGTGGGCAGAGCAGAGACAGACCTGAACAGATGGGTTGTGACATTGTGCTGAACTCTTCAGCTTGAGACACATGTCCATGGTACAGACAAGGGCTGGGTGCTGAACATGGTGTTTAGAGGACAGACTCAGGGAGAGGATTTCTATTCGCTGCACAGAGACAGCCAAAAGGGGCTGGAGTGTGGTAAGGCAGAAACCAGGGGTGTTTGAAGAAGAAGTCTGGGCCTACTATAGAAGCCTGGTCAACAAGCCATTATTAAGTGGTGCTTGAAGGAAGGGGTAGGGTTGCCATTGCAGCTTCTTTCTCCATGTGCTGGGCCCTAGTCTTTATGGGCTCTGGGCTCCCACACTCCAGCCCCCTCCCTGACAGGCTCTGGGAACAGACTTCAGTGGTTTATCCACTGCAGAGGCAAGGCTGAAACCACAGCTGAGCTGCAGGGACAGTGGGACCTAGGAAGCAAGGCTGAAATCTCTCCCCACAGCTGTGCAAGTCTCAGATTTACATATCTGCCCATCACCAGCTTGTAAACTCAGCATCTGTAGGACATCTGAGTGGACAATGGGTGCTCCTATGGATAGGAGGGGTCTGGCCTTAGCAGCTGTGTATTTGTGGGCACATACATATGGGGGCAGGGTCAGGATAGAGTCTGGGCTGGCTGCATAGCTCCCACAAGCAGGTCTAGGTGCATGACCACTGCAGTCTTAGAACCTGCCTTCAGCATATCTGCATTGATGGCCTTGTGAAAACAACATGTGAGGGACACGAGGGCTGATTGCCAGCATTCCCAAGGTTGAGGTGGGGCCAAGGGCAGTGCCAGAAACAGCGTACTTTGTGAGCCCACGCATTGGGTGACCGGTGACACAACAGGGTGTACTCATCCAGTGAACGGCCCTGGCAGAACACTCAGTGGTTCTATCCTAGTGGGAGAGCCCTAATCCAGCATACCTCATACTGCTGAAACAGCTCAGAAATGAATCTTGGGGCTTCTACTCCAACAACTAGGGGACAGACCAGCCTTGACAGGGCAGTGACAACCACAGAGTAAAAGAAGAGAAAAGGGAACCCTCTTACACTGTTGGTGGGAACGCAAACTAGTACAGCCACTATGGAGAACAGTGTGGAGATTCCTTAAAAAACTGGAAATAGAACTGCCATATGACCCAGCAGTACCACTCCTGGGCATGCACACCGAGGAAACCAGATCTGAAAGAGACACGTGCACCCCAATGTTCATCGCAGCACTGTTTATAATAGCCAGGACATGGAAGCGACTGAGATGCCCATCAGCAGACGAATGGATAAGGAAGCTGTGGTACATATACACCATGGAATATTACTCAGCCATTAAAAAGAATTCATTTGAATCAGTTCTAATGAGATGGATGAAACTGGAACCCATTTTACAGACTGAAGTAAGCCAGAAAGATAAAGACCATTACAGTATACTAACGCATATATATGGAATTTAGAAAGATGGTAACGGTAACCCTATATGCAAAACAGAAAAAGAGACACAGATGTACAGGACAGAATTTTGGACTCTGTGGGAGAAGGCAAGGGTGGGATGATCTGAGAGAACAGCATCGAAACATGTATATTATCTATAGTGGAACAGATCATTAGCCCAGGCTGGATGCATGAGACAAGTGCTCGGACCTGGTGCACTGGGAAGACCCAGAGGAGTCAGGTGGAGAGGGAGGTGGGAGGGGGGGATCGGGATGGGGAATACATGTAAATCCTTGGCTGATTCATGTCAACGTATGACAAAAACCACTACAATATTGTAAAGTAATTAGCCTCCAACTAATAAAAATAAATGGAAAAAAAAGAAGAAGAAGATAACCTGATCAGTATCCAGCGTAGGCTCTAGTCCCCACAATGTCAGTCACACTTTCTACCAGGAGGATAATGGCCAGCACACACTGAAGAAAGAGGTGGCAGACAGCTACACTAAGTAATTCTCACACCAAAAATGGTTAAATCCACACAGGTTATGCCGAGAGACTCTTACATAAAAATAGCCCTCTAAGGCCACAGTACGTAATTGTTTCTCCTAAACTCATCGAGCAAGAGAAGTATAAGTAAAATGAAGAGGCAGAGGACCCACTCCCAATTAAAAGATCAAGAGAACTCCTCTGAAAGGAAGAACAATAGACCTCTCTAGTCTAATAGACACTGAGTTCAAAAAGGAGATAATAAAAATTCTGAAGGAATTAAGAAAAATTATTGATACAAATGCAGATTACTGTAAAAAGGAAATAAAAACTATAAAAAGGAAACAAGAAAAATTAGACAACTCATTCGCCAAGATGAAAGCTGAGCTAAAGGCAATGAATAGCAGAATAAATAATGCAGAAGAATGCATAAGTGATTCGGAAGATACAATAATGGAAATCACCCAGTCAGAAGAGCAGACAAAAAGTCAAATTTTGAAAAGAATGAAAACATTACAAGAGACTTATGGGTTAGTATATAGAGTGCCAATCTACACATAATAGGAACCACAGAAGAAAAAGAAAAAGATGATTGAAAATATATTTGAAGAAATTATGGCTGAAAGCTTTCCAAACCTAAAGAAGGAAGGTTTATTTTTTATTTAGTCTTCTCTAAATAAAAAAGAAATAAAAATCTATAGGAAAGAGGAAATCATAATTGGAAAGCAAATCACTTAAATAAGCCAGCTTAGTGAAAGTGTTAGTTGCTCAGTTGTGTCTGATTCTTTGCAACCCCATGGATATAGTCTGCCAGGCTCCTCTGTCCATGGAATTCTCCAGGCAAGAATACTGGAGTGAGTTACCATTTCCTTCTCCAGGAGGTCTTCCCAACCCAAGGACTGAACCCAGGTCTCTGCTTTACAGGCAGATTCTGTACCATCTGAACTAACAGGGAAGCCCTGAAATAAGCCATTATGTAGATTTAAAAATCAAAACATTTCTATAGAAGCAATAATGAACAAAAATAACCACTGGAATAGCAAAAGGATGGACATGGAGATATAAAAGAGGATATCAGAATCATAAAATGTGGGGGAAGAGAATAAAAAAAATGTAGATTTTTTTTCCCCCTAGAATATCTTTACGCCTATGTGACTACCAGTCTAAAAAAAGTAGATGTAGGAAAGGTTTAATATACTTGAAAAAGTTACCCTTAACCACAAATCAAAAGCATACAATAGGTTCATAAAAACAAAAAAAGAAGAGAATGTAAGCCTAATACAAAAGAAAATCACCAAAGCATAAAAGGAAAAACAAAAGAGAAAGATACAAGAAGAAATATAAAATCAACGAGAAAACAAGGCTTAAAATAGCAATTAATATATGCTGCTGTTTGCTTAGTCACTCAGTCATTTCCGACTCTTGTGACCTCATAGACTGTAGCCTGCCAGACTCCTGTCCACAGGATGCTCCAGGCAAGAATACTGGGG